ATCCCTAGTTGAAGGCAACTGGATTCTTCGTGGAACCAGGGAGGTAACAACCGCCGGGACCCTTGTTGCATTTGGATTAGAAGTTTCAGGACTACTCCTTGACCTACTGTTAGATGAACTAGGATCAGAAGGGGGAGAAATGCCTGACATCTTGACCCAAACTCGGCTGAACTTTTGCGCTCAACTGCAACGATGTGATCCAACGCGAGCTTTGCTCAGCGTCCCAAGCAAAAGTTTGCAGTGATGGGACAAAAGACCAATGTAGCACAATACTACCTCAACCAACAATGTCTTCGCAAGTTGGATATTAAGATAATAAAGTGTAATTGAAATTAATTCAAATTGGGTTGAAGTTCGGATGCAATACGGCTTCGCTAGCGGTAATGACCCTAGCTCTGACCGCAAAACAACACTGAACCAAAAACAAAAGGCAAAAGGCAATTGGACAAAGGACACTTGGCAAGCGACAAGGACAGACCGACGAACGTAGCGAGCAAGCTCAGCTACCTCGGCGTTGAAAGCCTATCGGATGCTGTAGAGCCGCTGGACTTGTGCCAGGGTCTACCAAAGTGTGCGATCGTCCTGGCCCCCGAAGTTGGGGTAAAATTGATTGCCCGCAAGAGGAACTGGACGACGGGCGTGCAGGATATAGCTAATGCCCTCGTGTCGGATCCAGTCCTCTACCTCTGCAATCCAGCAGAGTTCCCTGTCGGAACGCCCCTCTGACCGGATGGTTTTAATGCCGAGTTGCTTGCACTCGTTTATAATGTCAGATCGGTCGTCGATGAGACAATGTGCTTGGAGTGCGGAGATGATAGATGATTTGCCCTGCCTTCCGCAAGGAAAGCGTGCCAGGTGCAACTCTCTAAACGGCAAACCTTCAGCGATCAATTGGCTAATCACGTGCTCAGCACCAGCTCGGGTGCTCTCAATCTTAGATTGGCCGGCGTATGACACAATGTGGAACTCGATTTGATTACCAGCAATCCTAGTCAATGTCCGAAGCTTATCAACTAAATGGGAAGACAATTCACCAATGGGGTTGAGAGCTTGGTCAATGGTATCGTGCCAGTCGATACAAACAACTATGTTGGATGTATTAACGTGGACTACCTTAGAGACTAAGTTGGGTTGGTGCTGGTAATGTCGCGGCACAGAGCCAGCGACCCCCTATGGCCGATCTGGTGTTGGATCAGGTAACGGCCGACCACGGACGTGGGGTGCAAGGCCGGATCCTGAGCTTGGTGCCTCTTGCTGTTGCTGTTGTCCTTCGGGATCAAGTGATGGAGGATCTCGGGACGATTGGCCAGCAGGTCTTGCCCTCTCGATTCCTGGCGGAGGAGGTTTTACGGGCTTGAGATTAGCTGGATTAGGGGGAACAGGCCTATTAGGTCTTGGGGGAATTACCACAGGTGCAGCAGGTGCAGCAGGTGCCGCAGGTGCAATATGCACAGGTGGATGTTTCCAAGGCAGATTCTTCTTTTTCTCTGGAGCTGGTGGTAAGGGTTCTGGCCTTTGGGGCGTGTCGGGGACAGCAGCCCCCTTTGCACGGATTGGCACAGGAACGGAACTAGCTCTTTTGCGAGACTTAGATGAAATCTTATTAGAAATTGGTACTTCCCTTCCCCTTGATGTTCTGGCAGCAACTGCGGGCGCAGTTTCGGCTGAGGGTGCTCTTGATCTGGATCGCGCAACGGGAGAGCCGGCTGGCTCTGATGCAGTTTCTGTCGCGACACGGGCTGTGTCAGCGACCCCAGTTCCAGCACTTTGCAAAGACTGCCTCCAGGGAGGATAAGCTGAACTACTAGAACTGCTTAATGGGGGAACAGTCAAAGATGGTACTGTAGGGGCTGCAGGTGGTGTTGGTGCAGCAGAAACTGGATCTTTTCTGGGCTGTGCCGGCTTATCACGTTGGATTTGAGAGGTTCTTATGTTAGGGCGTTGTCTCTTTGGTGGAGACTCAATTGGACGGGCAGGGGTGCGCTCAGCGAAGCCAGCGTCGAACGGTTCTTGCTGGCCGACAAATGCCTGACCTGATGAAACAAACCTGGCGGTTCGAGTCTCAGCTGTTTCAGAGCCCTCAGATTCGGTATCGGGGTTATTGGTGGAAATATTATAGACACTATTGGGGTCTAAATTACTTGAACCAAGAACAGTCGATGGGATCTAAGTGCAGGATCACGCCACAACGAGTCGGGAAGCTCGTGTGGGTTGACCCCAAGCTCTGGTGCCTCGGCGTGAGGAACAATAAACGGCAAAGTCTGCGGCGCGTACGCGATCGGAGGATCAGCGACCCTAGCCCAGGTGCCAGCGGAGTCAATTCTAATTTCGGGGTAACCGTGCACTTGGGGTCTTAAAGCAAGAGGTCTTCTAGAAACACCGGTTATGGCACGGGCTCTATAAAGCTCTTGACTAAGTTCGATTCGTTCACGGGTTTCCCTTGGGACTAGATTGACAGGCAATGGCGGATTGGACCTAGTTCTTTTAGGCCTACGACGGCGCGTGGAAACCTCACGGCCGTGTTCAGTTGTGGTAAAGTCAGGGAATTCGGGTTCTGCTTCAGCCTCAACCTCAACTTCAACTACCTGGTCCTCCTCAAAAACTTCCTCTTCCTCCTCTTCCTCCACCCACTGCTCCTCTTCAGGCGGTGGATCGTTGGGATCCCCTGGAGCAGTCTCTTCTCGCGCCTCTGCTGGTTGGGAACTGCGGGCAGCGAGCTCCTGTGCAGTTGGCGGCGGATGAGATGGTGGTGGTGGTAAGGGTGGTTGTTTATGAGCGGGCGGACTAGGGGGAATGTTATTAGGTGGAGGTGGCAAACTTTGAATCCTATCTGCAAGGGTTGTGGCACTAGAATCAGGAGCTTTAGGCCTAGCTTTAGCTGGTGGCTTAGCAGGGCTAGCAACTGGGACTGGTGCTACGTCGCGCCCAAAGGCAGCGACCCCTTGAGAATCTGACTTTGGGGCTTGTGGGACTGGATGGACAGAGACAGTAACCCTTGGACGCGGTGGCACTGCTGGCTCAGGTGGCCTTCTCAAAGAAGGTTGCCAGTTCGGAGGTGGGTGCCCAGGCTCTTTGGGTCCTTGCTGGACCGGAGTCGGAACTGTGCCTCCACTTGCCGCGCCAGCAACGGGTGTTGCGGCAGCAGGCCTTACCGCTTTCGGACGGGGTTGCTGCTGTGGGCCTATGTATCTATAATACCTATCCCACTCTTCTGGGCGCGGGTGCTCTGCCCCTAAGATGCGTTGGTTAATGATCCTTTTTGGGGGTAGATCACCAGAGTTTATCACTTGCTCGGCGTGTGAAGTACCTCTGCGCCTGTCCAAACCGTGGATGTGAGCCCACTCTTTGTAAGGGATGAGGATCTGGTAGGCTAAAGCTAAACACTGTGATGTTGGGAACTCCTCAACAAGTCTTGAATGAAGAGCTATCAACCAGCGAGTGCTTTCGTCGGCTTGTTCGTAAGGAATCTTTCTTAACCAAAAGCCACCTACGATATCCCCTCCGGAGTTATGGTAAAGCCAATTTTGGTATGCCTCGAAGTCGTTCCACCAAGCTCGCTTTGCTTCTTGCCACCTGGTTGTGGCACCGCCCCTGCTGGATCGAACCCTTTGTCTTGGGGGATTAGATGAAGTAGCGGGGGAATGTCCTACTTGGATAGGATCGGCACCTGGGTCAACAAGATTAGGGCTAGTTGGTGGTGGGACTATTTGATCGGGGCAACTAGTGTTGGCTTCTGTCGCGACACCGGATGTGTCAGCGACCGCAGGCTCAGGCACGGATGCAGATGGTTCGGATGCAACGGATGCTTCTCCTACTGGACCCGCCTCGTCACCTAAACCCAAAAGATCTGTTGTGTCAACTTCGCACTCGGTCTGTTCCAGAAGAGTTGAAGAATCTTGTCGAGGGTCTACTTCTTCTTCTTTTGCACGATCAATGTCCGTGAAAGCTGCTTCTGCTGGGTTACCCAAATCAGATGGCGGTTCCAAAAATGACTGATCTTGCAATGAAGTTTCAACCTCGATATCCTCTGTCGCGACGGGTTCGTCAACGACCTCTTCCGGCAAACCAATTGCTGAAATTACCGCACTAATGCTCTCGGCCTCGTGGATCTCCTCCTTAACCTCTACCAGTGATCGTTGTAGATCTGCAGAGTCTGTCACAATGGAGTCGAAACCAGATGGCGCGGGCGCTTGTACCTCAGACAGATCCGCCCAGGAGGTAGAGGCCTCAGCTATCGGTCCGGCAGGCAACGGAGCTGGTTGCTCAACGTCTTCTGCAGCAGATGCGACCGCTTCAGCTCCACCCGCTGGAGTTTCAGTCGCGACGGAATCGTCAGCGACCTCACCGGATCCTTCTGAGGGCATGCAACAAAGAACAGTGAAGTGCGAAAACAAAGTTAGGGCCTATGGCAAGTTTTACCGGATTAGGTTCCCCAACAAAAGCCTTACGGCTGATAACCAGTTAAACAGGGGGTCGAACCAGCCACCCAAAAGAAAAGGGGGAAACTAGTCCGGCAAACCCTGCACATGCGAAAAGCACCTTTTACTGACAAGGCACTTGAGCCATAGGGTCAATGGCAAGACACTATACTTAACCCAGGTAGTTGTTAGGGTTAAGGGTACTCCCATTTCTACCTACAACCCTCTACATGTATAACGCTTCTATACATGTGGTGCTACAACTGTACATGTATTGAGATGTACTACTTCGGATGTTATGGAATCATAGCTACGGCATGTCTACACTAGACCTACTACCTATGCTATACATAGTGGGGCTCAGGGGTCGATATATTTCAACTGTATATATATAATATATTTATATATATATACACACAAATGGATATTATAAATTGTTTACATACTCAAGAGATGCCGAGAGTGTGGATATGATACGACATAGCAGTAACACCAAAAAACTGCGCTATTTCACCACCAAAGAACTAGCTTCAAGTGAGCATGTCACAAACAAGCTACTGGGCTTTACTGGGCTTCCCAGGCACATCAGAGTCCAGGTTTGTTTCAAGATCTGCCAGGCAGTCATCAGCACTGACTTCACACCTGGCAGTTGCATCGAGCAGCGTTGAGCAGCGTTGAGCAGCTCCAGCAGCTTTCAACTGCCCGCCTTTCACAGCTTTCAGGCAAAGTGTGGAGGCGCAAAGCACCTCCTGTCACGGCTCCTCTCAGACTCAGCAAATGACAACAACTGAAAGTTCATGGGTTTTCATCAATCAATCACAGTCCACTAGACATCACTGGATTACATGACGAGGTGAAACATGGTGAAACTGCTGAGTTTCAAAAAAGTCATACCAGTCATACCAGTCATACCAGTCATACCATGTCCTTCATCGAACACCTCGTGGTTCGGTTCGCACAGTTGAGCTCTCCTGGAGCTGAAAGAGGCTTTGGAGGCACCTGGATGATGTCCTCACCGAAGCCAGCGATGAAGGTGTTCTGCACCTGGTGCCATGGTGCCATGGCATGGCAAGACAGGATGATGGGCAAACCCAAAGCAGCGGTCAGGTCTCCAAAATATTGGGAAGAAACAAAGACGTGGTGGGGATCCCAAAACCCAAGGGTTTTTGCCATTAGATACATATATAGATACATCATGGAATGATGTTCGGTGATGTTTTTGTTTGGATTTTTGAGGGTCTCCAACTTTTGGGGACACATCTTCAACGAAGAAATCACAGATGAACCATGCAGAGCACTGCCATGCACTGCCTGCAAGTCTGCTTGTCCACGCCCCTGCAGAGCATCGGAGGATTCCACTGCAACAGCGGTCATCTCAACTCCTGCGAAGGCATCCAGTACTATCTGGACCAAGTGGGACATGTGCATCTGGGCCATCTGGGTGGTTTTCAACAGTTGGGTATCTGCAGTATCCCCAAAAGTGAAGAGTGATTGCCAAAAACCGCTGAGCTTCCCTGAGTCCAAGCGTTTCCCCTCACTGACCCCAATCTGCCGCAATCTGCTCATTCTGTTCAGTGACGCACCTGAACCATGCGAGCAGAACAAGGAATATCGCCTCACAGAAAGTGCCATGCACGAAATGAAAACATTGCACCGTTGGTGTTTCGAAATTGCAACTCGAAGCTTTCCAAGCAAAAGTGTTGATAATTCAGAACCAAACAGCACAACAGACCTTCACCCATTGAATCATTGAAGTTCAAGAGGATCGACTTCCCGAAACAGTTATTCAGCTGATGTTTCAAATCCAAAATGGAACATCCATCAACTATCATCAACTTCATTGAATGGCATCGCGGCATTTTGTTCATGGCAATTCTGCCAAGTTGCCAGCTCCTTAGAATTTCAGAGCAGCTCAAGCTTTTGCTTCTGAAACACTTCCATGTTTCGAATTTGAAAGGCATCCAAGTTGAAAGACTGCCATGATGTTCCACTCTTACTGCATCACATCTCTTACTGCATCACATGTCAAGAAAAAATGGAGAATTTCGTCACCCTTGTTGTTGGGGTCCAAAATTTGAACCAGAGCCGCCGCAGCCGTCCTAACCGTCATAGCCAGTCATAGCCCATATTTTGGCCCAGATTCTGATGTAGATTCACCCGCACCCGCGGTTCCTCGCTCTGCTGCAGCTGGATCCTTGGCTCCAGAAACTCTCAACCAGATCCAGGCGTCGGCTGGTTGATCATCTATGAATCACATGTGAATCATATCTGAATCAGTAACAACATGTGGTAACAACATGTAACAACACTGTAACAACCCATCATAATCAGTAACAACATGTAACAACACTGTAACACAAACACAACCCAGTGAATCATCATGAATTCAGCTTCGTGACGTTTGGACTGGCACCGCACCAAGGCGCAAGATCTTCAGCATGTCCTTCGAAGGCCTGCAACATCGCTGAAGTTCCAGAGAAATGGGGAGACGTTTTCTTGAAGAAATATGGCTATGGATCAATACCTATGAAAATACCATGGCTTTAGGGGGATGAACATCCATTTTAACCCAGCTATTTTGATGTGAACAAGAAAGGGGTACAAGGTTTTGACACACTGCCATATGAAGAAATCAGGCAAAGCATAAACCCTAAACAAATGCTACGCAAAATCTAAGAAGTAGAAAGCGTTCATATCCGCAAGGAAAAAACTGGTAATAACTGTCTTAAATCATCCTGAAAAGATCCCGTGACCGCCTCAACTCACCAGCATGTACCACTTGGCCACCGCCAAGGCCAAAAGCTCCTGGAGAAACTTGGCTCAAGTGCCAGGCAACAGCCAACTGGAACCGGTTTGATGTGATGGACACTCAACAGATATCAATGATATCAAAATCTGCCGAGATCTGCATTTTGTATATGTTTGTATCATCTCAAATTTGCCCACTTCGGTCTTGAGTCTTGATGTATGCCGTATGCCTTCTATGCCACAATGCCAAGGCCAAAAATCTCAGAAATTGACCCATGGAAAAATCATGGAAAGTGAAAAATAGCTGCACCAACTTCCCAGTGCCAAAATTCTGACATCGCCTCTATCAGCATCCACTTCTCCAACAACTCGAACCGGATGTTCTGCAGTGACGCTCCTTCAGCTCCGTCAGCTCTGGATGACAGACATTGACAGACCAAACAGATAACAAAATCGCGCCAAGCTACAACGCGGTGCCATCTGCCATGGTGATGTGAGACCACTGGCATTCACCAGAAACCACCCTGGCCACATAATGCCACTGACAGTTTCACAGCCAGTTTCTACCACAGCAAAACGAATCATCTCCACTGATCACCATAGGTCGGGGCCCAGGCACCCGCAGTCATTCACATCCACGAATCGAATGCTTCCAGCCAGGTGGTCGTAACCTCGGTATCAGCTTTCCAAGTGTTGCGCAGCCCAAACCACTTCTGGTTCCAACATGTTTGGGCATGGGGGAGGGACCCCAACCTAGGAAGCACTGGATTTTGAAGCAAAAACTGAAAACACACAAATGCTGATTCTGACAAACAAATGTTTGCCTTTTGTGTCTCTGGATGCCTTTGGCATGCAGATTTCGAAGCAAGAAAACAGCTCAAACCGCCTTGCCAAGTCACACAGCAACCGGTCGCCCACTTCCAACTGTGACGCCGGAACCGCTGCAGGACGGCCTTCTAAATAGACCTGGTCTTTTTCAGCAGGCACTGCCCTGACCCTACTAAAACTGTAGCAAAATTCAACAGCAATCACGCAGCAATCATCTCAAGTTCATGGAAACTTCCAATTTCACACCAGAATCATGACCCCGAAGTTTCCACTTTCCCATCCTATTCACCATCCACATTCGTTCTACATTCGTTCGTGGCATTCGTGGCCTGCCTTGGCATTCATCGGCAAGCAGTCGCAACGGTCGCAGTCGCCACGGGTTCCCTGCGCCAAGCGCTCCGGGGCGGGTGCAGACTGAGTGGATGGAGGACTGTGCCACGGCCTGGGCCAACTGGACCATGACAAGATGACAAGATGAGTTGAAGATGTTGATAATCTATGATAATCTATGATAATCTATGATAATCTATGATAATCTATGATAATCTATGATAATAATGGATAATCTATGATAATGATAATTGCCAATGGATAATCTATGATAATTGCCAATGGACAGATGTTGATAATTTATGATAGTCTGATAAAGTTTAAGAAAAATCTGTGTTTCACTGTGTATCGCTATCCATGCTGCAGTATGTCACTGGTATGTGTCTATATGTATACAGTATAGTATACATAATTACAATGCATATTTCGAATATTTCGTCTGTTTTTCACAAATGAAAGATGTTCTAAGAGAAAAGGACCGTTTGACTGGAGTAGCTATCCAGATACTTTTCATCTGGGCTCAAATCAAGCTGGGGTCGCGGCTGATTCCCTGTCTGATAAAGGTATGAAGATTCACCTCAAGTAGCAAACGACATCAAGAAAACAGCGTAAGAAATGTCTCCAAAGTTCAATCAGATCTAGGCCGAAGACCATCTGTAGCCTGGCTCAAAAAGGCACATCCATAACACATCCATGACACATCCCAGAAAACCGAGGGCAGTCTGGCCTTCAACGTCTCCCCTTGAGCCAACTGGACGGCAAACTCAGCGGCACACCGCTTGACCTGGGGCGGAATGGGGGTTCCACCGTTGAGACTGGGGCCTGTTTGCAACCTGCAACCATGACCATCGAGGTTTGTTACCCGCAAACTGGTAATCCGCCCCCTGCCTTTTCGTCTATAATGAACGATTTCAGCTGCTCCTTTCGTCACAAATGGTAATCTGACAAGAGAAATGGTTCCAGTTCGGACCATCTGTGGATTATCTGTTAAAATCAAAAGAATCAAATGAGTGCCTGCAGTGAAACAGCTTCCCAGTGAAACAGCTTCCAAACTTACGATAGATCAATCACATGCAAGTCCCGGACTCCAGTCCTCTCGTTGAAAGTCTAGCTGCTTGTCTCGCCAGGCAGAACACCTGTAACATCTTTTCGTTGCTGCATTTCTACAGCAAAAGGCTTTTAAAGAGCAAAACCCTGCAAAAAACAGGGAACCATAGGAACCATAGGGATCCTTTCATCCTTGTACTCTTGCCTCACAACCTCTCCGGTCTCATGTCTTTAAAACCTCTTGAGTGCACCTTGCCACGCTCAGTGCCACCACACCAATGATCAGCGCGAACCTGGGTAAAATCTAGCAGAAATGAAGCTACACCAAGACTTGGAAACCTCAGAAAGTCAAAAAATCAAAGGCCGGGACTGATTCATGGAGTCTAAAAGAAGGGCAAGTAGTGGTCCCTTCTGATCAAAAACTCTGAAGATCGCCACCTTTCAAGCAAAGCTCGTGAGAAATCTACCAAAGGGCAGCTGAACACTCATCACAAATCGCAATCAATTTCGGCCGCAGACCATTTGAGGGATGACAAAAAAACCTCGGGCAGCGACAAAACTGAACTGCAAAAAAGTCAATCTCAGTACTGTCAGATTGACGGATCTTTAAGAGCAGAATCTGTTTGGGCTAGCCGTCTCACTCCACTGCAAAAAACTGAGTCACTGCTCACAAGGGCGAAAAGAATTGAAAAGAGCATGATTTTCGGACAATCCCAGGTGAAGCAGCCAAGGAGCTACACGATGCGCAAGACGCAATCAAGGTTTGCCACTGATCCAGCACCATAAGGCATAGAGATGTCAGCAAAAAGACATAAATACTGGGTCCTTGGTCAAAATGCAAACCACACATGAGGTCTTCTGGCAATTGTTGAAAGTGAGAAACTGAGGCAAACGCCTATAAAGAGGGCATCACCAAACTTGTTGTCATCAACTTTAAGCAGGCTTAAGGTCGAGAAAAGTCCTGCAGCTTTTGAAAGATGTGATCTCGCACTTGCATTTAGTATGGCGTGTAAGGATTTCCAAAACAGTCAAGACAGCACAGTCCTGCCATGAAGCCGTACCTTCAGATGGCGTTCTCAAAAAGCACAACAAAAGATTCACTGATTCACCTGTTGCCACCGTTTTCCCACAGTTTTACCAACTGCGGTTCTCTGGGCGCACCAGCAAAGGACGGTGGTTTGGAAGGTCGTATCCAACACCCAGATCAGTCTGGCTGGAACCCGAATTGGGATCCGGCAGAGTTGGGAACCGAAGAGTTTCCAGGCTCTTAAAGCCACCACCAAACCAGGAATGAAGTGGCTCAATGGACGGTCCTTGGCAAAGCTTCCATTTCGCTAGATAACCCATCCAACCGGAAATCAAAACCAGTCATTTGGCACTTTGAGTAGTCTTTCTGTGATGAAAACTGGACAACATCTTGAGCATCTTGGAGCATCTTGCAGCTTTGGATCAGACATGAAAAAGTCAGCTGCGTCAGTCTTGATCAAGTCTTCATCGCAGAAGCGGGCCATCTGCAGGCTTTCATGCAGCCTGACAAATGCAACTCACGAGAAGAACGACGGGTATCCAAATCTATCCAAGCTTCACCATCATGCGAAATGAATATGTTCAAGGAAGAATCACACTTTTCCTGTCCTTCTGAATTCTTAAGACCGTTTCACACCGTTTCAGCGTATCATTCCAAACATGACTGACATGACATGACAGCGGCCTCCCTCGCAAATCAACTTCCGCAGCTCGATTTTCCAATCGCATCAATCCGTTCTGCCACAGACTGTCGACCTCAGAAGACGCGAACATTCTGCATGTCTTGTTCGAAAAATTCACAGGAGTCCCATAAGTCACAAATCATTTCATCAAGGTGCACAGCTTTCGTAGAAATCCTTGGACGGAGGAGCACCACCCTTTCGTGGCTTCTCTAGTCCTGCAAGGCAACTGGAGTGTCGTTGCAAGTTGTGGCGCAGGCTCTTGCAGAGTCTCCTGTTAAGATGAAGAAGGCAATGTACATGATGAGGTAAGACGCCTCGAACAAATGTCCAACAGAAAGAAACATGCGTTTTGAATCACTTTAAATCATTTTGGGCATCTTGAGGAAGTGGAAGCTCAACCCATCCTACCCTACCAACATTGTTAACATCTACTGACTCATCAGCTCACCTCCACCGCAAGCACCAGCATCTCATAGCGATGCGAATCCTTTTGCATGAGCCTCGATGGAGCCCAAAGGCTGAAACTTGTCACATGCACGTTGGTCTGGGACAAACTCTGTCATCCCAACAAAAATGGTTGAGGTGGTTTGATATCAATTCTATGGTTTTAAATTTGGTTCAATATGGTTTCAATATAGTTTACTGATTAAATGTTCAATTTGGAGGGGCCGGCCACTTTTGTGGTCCACGGGACCCCCATGGCTTGACATGGCTCGCTCCGCCTCTGGAACCTATCCACTGGCGTCTGCTTTGAAAGCTCTTCAAAAGCTGTGTCATCGCCACTGGGCCTCCAAGTCGAATGTGGTCGATGACTCGAACAAAATGAACCAGTTGACCACTAGGTCAAATTTGAAGGTGGGACACATTTGGTCCTAAGTAATCAGAAGTATTTGGGCGTATTGGATGTATTTAGGATATTTTAGGATCAAATTTGAATCCGTTTTGAGGTTCTCAGTACCCACCAAGCGGCATCGAACCTCCGCGGCAACATCCCAAGGCCGAGGCCGAAGGCACAGGGCCAGTGGTCAAGGGATGTCACTGATTTGTCACAGGGTCAATCTGGGGTCAGCAAATGCCGGGTCAATCTGGGGTCCAGTTGATTCAAGTCGGTTCAAGTTGATTCAGGTTGATTGAAGTTTACTCTGAACAGCCAACTCTTGAGCCTAACGGCTGAGTTCATCTGTGAGGTATGCTGACCTGACCAGTTCTGGCGGATGCGTGACAAAGATCACACATCGCACAGAATTTTAGATAACATTTGCAGTTTTGCCATGTTTTGCCACCGTCCTGAAATGATTGACCAGCCGTATTCGATGGTAGTCGGACCAAACCTGAGCTCTCTCCGAGTTTGAAACTCTCCATCGGTTGATCCAAACTCCACTGGTTTCCAGTATGCCATCTTAGAAATCGACATCCGCACCAACAGTCCTGGCCAGCGATTGAAATGATTATTTCAAACAAATCCAAAAAAAAACTAAGAAACTGGATTTGATGTGAAGAAATGTGAAGAAACACCATTTTTTTCCGTGTTTATCCAGGCCTTCTCAGTTCATGCAAAGAAAAACCATGGGCAGTCTCTGCATGCGCCTGGATCTGAGGAAATGCCCAAAACCGACGCAGAGAAAAATTCAACGAGGGCTGAAAACAGGCATCATTAGTACATCAGGTCACAGAGATATTCCGTGTTTTTATGTGTTTTTAAAATATTAAGTGAATGGAAATCGATGAAGAACCCATTTATTCAATGTATCTTAGTGTTGAACTTGCTGAACATGACGCGGTAAGCTGTGCGCACCCAGCATTCAGCAGCGCTTCTGAATGTTTCCGGACCAAAGGGAGAGAGCACCTCCACCAATTTCATCCAGTTCCACGCTTTCACACACACACTTTTCTGGGATATGTGTGCGATATGTGGGGTATGTGTGATATATTTGATTGCATATTGTCATCATTTCGTCTAAGTGTGTTGTAAGAGAATTGGGGGGAAACGTTCAATGCATTGCATAGCTTTCGGAAATAACTGAAATATGCACTTGTTAGTTTGCCCAGAAGGAAATGAACCCTGTGTGAAGTTGACGTCCAGCAGGGAATTGTTCATTTTGTTTTCTTTCGACATCTACAAAGAAGCGAAGTAAAGAACTGCTTGGATTGTACCTCACCAAAATCCTCATCAGAAAGGTTGGCTTCTTGCGCATATGCTTCAACCTGCAATTTTACGCAATGGCCACACAAGTTTCAGGGTGCAAAAATGTTGAACCCTTCCACTGTTGCAGTATTGTTTTATCTACTAGTTTGCACCGTTTTCACTAAAAACAAAGGCGAAAGCGAACGAAACGGTCCTGCGAACCAAAAAGGGAACCTTCAACATCGCTGTCCTTATCAAATTCGGGATCATTTGTGAGTGAACCATGCATAGATCAATCACAAATTGCAGACATTAATTCACTAATAAAAGAAATCTCTTGGTGGCTGGCTGCGGGCTCCAACGGACGCTCCGATTCACCGCACATTGCTGATCTGATTTGCTTGTGATGTGTTGCTAGTGGTGGAATTGGCAGTTTTCACCTGTAGAAATCTGACATGGAATGCGTTCCGTTTGATCACATCAAACGCAGGCGTTTCGGCCAAACTCTGCGGAACAAGTGAAGATTCAGTTGCGCTTCCCGCTTCCCTGAACCATTTCTCAGCTGCTTCGAGTGAACCTGCAGTTTTATGGAGAAAAGTGTGAAAAGTGGTAGAATTGTGAATCAGTTTCTTGCAAGTCAATCCAAAAGGCGGATGTTTTTTTTCTTGTCAGGCATCCGTGATCGTCCGTGGCTATGTATGAAAAAACACGTTCATACACATATATCAAAGCACAGCCCAAGATGCCAGATTAAATGCTCTAGAGCATTTCAATCTGGCATCTTGGGCTGTATCGAATTCACTTCTGTCTCCTGACATACGAGCGGTGCGCAGTTTTGAAAAACACATTGGATCGAGAAAAAATATAAATACAAAACCGGGAGTCCAAAAATCAGTGTAAATAGAGCATGTCAATTTACATTCTGGAATAGTTGACAAAAACATTGACCACCATTGCTGGCAGGTTTCCATTCAAAGTATGTTTTGAAGGAACTGAAGGAAACACAGTGACCACCAGTGCCAGAAACCCACAAATGCCTGAAACATATGCATTTTTCTTGGCGTTTAGCACGCAGCCTGTGATAAGCAGATTTGGAATCTCATGAAATTTCAAGAAATTCGGACTAGTCTTGGCAACAAAAGGAACAGCTGGGCCACAAAAACATCAAAAACCCAGGACGTGAATATCCAGTCGTTAGGGTCCTTGTTTTCTTCACACATCGGACTCCTCACCTGGGAAAGTCCAGTGGCGATGCTGGGGGTGGAGCTACCCTGCAGTAAACATACCAAAAAACTATGTGGAAATACATTGGTTTCCCCAAGAAACTATCTAAAAATGGTGCCTTTTCCATAGCTATCTTAGTTTACTGGAGGGTAGATGTCCTAAGAGAACTGTTTGAGTCCCTAAGGGACCTCTCGGGAACCGAAACAAATTGTGTGCATGGCATAACTGTGTAGACACAGACACAACATATTAAAAAAAATGGGTATCTCCAACAATGGGAATTTCAGGCATATGTAAGGCAATATCCTCCGCAAACCTTCTGGATCCTATTACAGTAATTAAAAACAAGGCGAGTGCAGCTACCTGCTGTTCCTGCTGCTGGATTGCTGTTCTTGCGGTTCCTGCTGCTGTATTGCCGCAGCTGCTGCAGCAGCAGCAGCTGCTGCTGCTGCTGCTGGCGGTGGCGGTGGTACTGGTGCTGGTGCTGGTGCTGCTGCAGCAGCAGCAGCATGCTGCTGCTGGCGGTGGCGGTGGTACTGGTGCTGGTGCTGGTGCTGCTGCTGCTGCTGCTGCTGCGGCTGCTGCTGTTGTGCGTGGAAAGAGCCCTGTCCCTTTCCCGCAAAATGATTCTTTTGAGAGCTGTCAACTTAAAAAACATTTGCTTCGAACTATATAATATAATTGATGCTGTATTTGGCCGGGTTCTACTAGTCTCTTGACTGTTTGAATTATTCCGTGCTCTATTATTGTGATTATTATATATTATTATCATCATCTATGATTCAAATTTCTTTACCCTGCTATACTCTGCTGAAGTCCCCGCCTCAGCTCGAAGATGCAATGAGCGCTGGTCTGAAATATGGGACTGTTTGAATTATTTCGTACTCTATTGTTTATTATTGTATACCTGAAAAGGGGGGAACGAAAGCCAGCCTCCAAACAAATGCTCAGGCGGCGCTTTTTTCTTTGCGTTTTTTCACACAGACCCTTTTACACACAAACATCTTTACACAGAGACGCTTTTACACACAGAAGGTTTTACACACAGACAGACAGACCCTTTTACACACAAACATCTTCACACAGAGACGCTGTAACACACAGACCCTTTTACACACAGACTTTTTTACACACAAACATCTTTACACAGAAATGTTTTTACACACAGACCCTTTTACACAGAGACACTTTTACACACAGACACTTGTACACACAGACCCTGGTACGCACACACATGTTTTCCACACAGACACTTTTACACACAGACGTTTTTACACACGAACACTTTTACACACAGATCCTTTTACACACAAACATATTTAGACAGAGACGCTTTTTCACACAGTCCCTTTTACACGCAGACACGTTTACACACAGACGCTTTTACACACAGACCCTTTTACACACAGAAGATTTTTCACACAGACCCTTTTACACACACATCTTAACACAGAAACACTTTTGTCACAACGCCTTTACACGCAAACAGCTTCACACAGCGACGCTTTTACACACAGACCCTTTTACACACAGACCCTTTTACACACAGACGCCTTGACACACAGACGCTTTTACACACAGACCCTTTTACACACAAACATCTTAACACAGAAATGCTTTTACACATAGACCTTTTTACGCACAGACACTTTTACACACAGACCTTTTTACACACGGACCCTTTTACGCACACACACGCTTTTGCACACAGACCCTTTTACACACAGACACTTTTGCACACAAACACTTTTGCACACCGACCCTTTTACACACAAACAGCTTTACACAGAAACACTTTTACACACAGACCCTTTTACACACCAATTCCTCACGCAGAGACGCTTTTACACCGAGACGCTTTTACGCACAGACCCTTTTACACTACACACAAACGCTTTTACACACAGACGCTTTTACACACAGACGCTTTTACACACAGACCCTTTTACACACAGAAGCTTCTACACACAGACCCTTTTACACACAAATATCTTTACACAGAAACACTTTTACACACAGACGCTTTTACATACAAACATCTTCACACAGAGACGCTTTTACGCACAGACCCTTTTACACACAGATCCTTTTACGCACAGACACCTTTACACACAGACGCTTTTACACACAGACCCTTTTACACACAG